CACGCAGACTGCTGAGAGACTCAACACACTACAAAATGATACTCTACACAATAAAAGATTATTCCCACAAAAATGCTCTATGATCATATAAATAGGCAGGCACAGCTAAAACCAACCACAACTAAAACTGCCTCCAATAGAATACCTAATTAAATACCACACACTTATATATTTATTTATATATAAATACATCAACCATCTCAACAATCACACAGAAATGATCCCCTACTATACCTTACAAATATTGCACTAAAATCAAGGAAACTTGGAAATTTTATGATTATTATCCTAACCTGATCTCCAAGCGGGTCATCTCGACCTATGAGCCGAGCTGGCTGACCTCCAGGCATTAAAAACTTCCCACAATGCGAGCCGAATTGGCTCGAATTCAAGTGAGTCGAGTTCGAGTTGAGGCAAGTGAGTCGAGATCACCTGGGAAAAGATTTCATTATTCAGGCTTCTCCCTACGTTGCGCAAACCGGGCGCGCCCGCCCCATTTGGGAAAACTCCCCTCCCCCCGTTTCAATTGTTGCGCCACGTTTAAATTATTTCCGCCCCGTTTAAAAAAAAAAGGAGGCGCTGCTGCTACTGGCAATTGAGGGGCCACCTCGGCAAGAATTCCCATTCGACCCACTGGCAGCAAGAACAAGTCCGCACCTGCAGCTATAGCACACACGCATCTATTGACTATATATAACAACGTTATATATAGTTGTTATTGTAGTTATAGTTGTTATAGTAGTTATATATAATGTTTTTATATATAGTCAATAGATGCGTGTGTGTTGTAGCTGCAGGTGCGGACTTGTTCTTGCTGCCAGTGATTCGACCAGGCCCCCGGACCCCTCTAGTTTTCCCTCCCCCCCTTGATGCCGTCATAATCATTGATTTTTGTGTATGGTAGAAAATAACTAGTGTATTTAATTGCATTTATTGTTAATTTTTAAGAGAATCTGAAGGGGTTCCAAGCACAGCTATACGAGAGATTGCTTTGTTAAAGGAATTGGACCACCCTAGCATTGTTAGGTAGGAGTTATAATCTGTGCTATTACAAAATAAGATATCACATATGTGACCCGTGATAGCCAAATGAGTCGGAAGTCGCACAGTAGCGTTCTACTGTACAATCGATTTTTACAAAAAAAATTAAATTTAAAAAAAAAATTTTGTGTACTGTGTTTACTTTTGATCTGTATAAGCAAAAATGTCTTAATTCAATTAAAACCTGCTTAAATTGAATGATTTATGAGAAGTGTCGGCTAATAATATCAGTGAATGATATTAGTTTTCAGCCCTTATTCTCAGGAATTCTCAGGAAATTTTAATCGCATGATATCTCGATTTATAATGGTAATAAAATATTCATTTTTCAACCAATTTTCAATATCTATATAACAATAGAAAGCTGTGAATCTCAGGTATCTGAATATGTATTCAACCTAAAATGTCTAAATTGCCCCAAGTGACTCATTTTGCTATCACCGGTCACATATACACGCTAGTTTAATAGAAATAAGTGGTATGCTGATATGATGTACACCTACCACCCAGTAATGTGTCTAGTGCATAATACCGATTAATTCGTATATGCATCTAGTGTACTATTATTAATCTGTATAGTATATTATACATTAAAGGTAGCTTCCCTCAAACTTTCAAGGGGGAAACATAAAATCAGGCAAAAATTAATTATTTTAACATTGCACGTTTGTACTTGCCTATATGTGTGATAGGTAAAAAATTGCCCGGGAATACGTTCATTCGAAGCTTTTAGACTACAAAGTGAAACTTTGGGGTTGAATGTTTCCCAGCGTTTACTTTTTCCGCTATGCAGCATTTTTGTTGCTGGGAGATTATAGTATTCTGAGGAGTGAGTGGTTCGAGAGTCCTGTCAGGTCGCTGTTAGTTCGGATTACGTTTTGTTGGGTTTTTAACACGTTCTATATCGAAAACGGTTACGGTAAAAATTCTGAAATTAATAACATAAACAGTCGAGGTGCCTCTCTGTCTAGACTAGACTACAAAGTTTGATTTTAGAAAATGGTTTATATTAAAAGTTATGACATCTGAAAATGGCTACATTGACTCGATTGAAATGGTGATTGGTCAAATATAAGCAATATGGCGCCTACAGAACCGCGGCGAAAAGCGTTTTTCGAGTTGTTTCTTCGGTGAGCAAATATAGGCTTGACACATATTTTTACAGTTTTATTAGCTCATCTGACATAGTCAGATGCAGCTTGTAGAATCGCATGATCGTCTGTGCGTCCGTGCGTGCGTGCGTCCGTCAACAGTTGGGCACAAATCTTAACCGCTCGACGTACGGTCACGATATTCGGGACGTGGGGGGGTAATCCGAAAACGAGTTGGAATGTCGAAGCTGGGGGTCAAAGGTCAAAGGTCAAGAGGTGTAAAAGAAGGGGGAACATTCACTCCTTAACTTAAGGTATAGGGAGGAAATGCAGAATTGCGGCACAAATCTAAACGGCTCGACCTAGGCTCGTGATAGTCGGTGTATAGCATCATGGTAGGAAAAGCCATCACTGTGCCGAAATTGGAGGTCACAGGTCAAAGGTCAATGGGCACAGGGCAGATTTTAGACATTTTCTGAGGACATGGTCTGACGGAGCGATTGAAAAACTTTTTTGTTTCAGCGGTGACCTAGCATTTTTATGGCATTATTGAAAGGACCATGAAATCTACTTTCTGCTGACATGCGAAGAGTAAGTGTCAGATAACCTTTTGACCCTCAAGAGGAGGGTTAAACATGGATTTGTTGACTGTCTGTTAGAAAGAATTTGACTGCCGGGTTTGCTAGTAGAATCTATACATGCCTGGATGTATGAGGCTACAATGTCACAGTGAAATTTCAAAAGCTAAATTTGGTTAAAGAAGGTTTATGCTCCTTAAATCGTATAATTTCTATGTACAGTATGTTACATGTAACGTATGCCACTGCCAGTGGCTACTGCCAGTGCATGTGTTGGTGGTACTGTGGAGTTTTTGCCTGCGTTAATTGGTTACAGGTGGCAGCTCTCTATTGCAGCCTGTAGGCTTGCGTAGGTAAATGGATGAGTGCTTACCTATTCTGTCTTGCAGATAGTTGTTGCTACTACGTATGATGGGAGCTTCCATCTTTAATCTGAAGACACTTAAACGTACGCGCCATCTCGTGGCAACTTTCATAACGAACCCAACGAACATTCTTTTGAGAAGGTTCCTGATACCATCCCTGTGCATTCCACTGTTTCGGCGTGTATGTGAACACATTTGGGACTAACAGGGTTTACTAGAATCCCACCACTCCACCACAGAGTCACCGCAGTAGACGTTAGATGAGCGCTGTCGCTCTGCGGCACTTGTTTTCAAAGCTAACGTTCAGTTAAAGTGTAGTGAGTTATTTACATACGTTTTTACAGTGGTTTGTTACAAAAATTTACATGAAAAGTTTGAGGGAAGCTACCTTTAATTGCAAAGTTATTTTACGTGTTAAAAAGTTTTTTTTTCGATAATTTATTAGTGAATATCAATGGTCAGAAATTCCATTATATTTTTTGAGAATATCACTGCTTTGAATTTCTTGCTTAGTTGCTGGTAGGCTTGATCGGTTTATATGCATAGTCATGCGAATCTGTTGTTGTAGTCTGTAGTAGTTGTTGTTGTTGTTGTTGTTGTTGTTGTTGTTGTTGTTGTTGTTGTTGTTGTTGTTGTTCTTGTTGTTCTTGTTGTGCTCATGCTTTTCGCATGTATTTCAGATTATTGGATGTGGTCCACAGTGAGAGAAAGCTGTATTTGGTATTTGAATACCTAAACCAAGATTTAAAGAAATATATGGACAGCGTGCCACATAGCCTTGCTCTACCACTAGTGAAGGTTTTTGAAAAAATGATATGAAACTATATCAATATATATATAACTGTGTGGTTATTGTAGATTCCTTTCCAGGATAACTTGTTGTGTCACATCGTATATTGTTTGCGTCAGTGTTAAAGATGACCAGTGATATTTTACCTGAACATAGTTATATTGCAAGAGCACGTAGCAGCAGAAATTTTCTGTCACAAACTATTTATATATGCTGCATCCTTAGCTTCTATAACATTTTAGCATCCTCCAGATAGTAACTAACCATAATATAACTTTACAATTTGTTCAGCAGCAGCTGAGATATATATAAAATGCCATCATTGTCTCTTTGCTGGTGTTCTAGAGCTACCTGTGGCAGCTACTACAAGGCATTTGCTACTGCCATTCACACAGAGTGCTTCACAGAGACCTAAAGCCACAAAATCTACTCATCGACAATGAGGGCAACATTAAACTGGCCGATTTTGGACTCGCACGTGCATTCGGCGTGCCGTTAAGAACCTACACCCATGAGGTGAAATTATATATGCCATGCAAATCAGTACATTCTAGTGACAAGTATGAGAATCTTCTGCAGATTTCTTAGAATTTGGGTTTGCAATTGAGATTTTTCCCTATATATGCTGTTTGTAATTCATCAGGTGATTTTTAATTCCTTTCAAGGCCATTTTATTTGTAAAAAAATATTTTTTAAACCATAACCTCGAACATCTTGTCCAGAACTACCTTGACCAGGCTTCGCCTTTTCACAGGGCCGATCGGCCCAAGCCCCATAAACAGCCCCGTCTCCGGTGTCCGCTGATTTTTTTCGGGTCCGTTAAATTTTGAGATTTCAAAGCTTTTATTGCATAATTCATTAGTTTAAAAAAATCAGCCCCACCGAGTAAATGACGGGGGTCTTTTTTAGGCCCCGTGGTTTTGTGAGACGGCGAAGCCTCCTTGACCAACATCGTGTCCTTCATGTGCCCCTAGATGCTTGGCTAAAATGTTTCTAAAGTGATTTTTAGCTCATCTGACATAGTCAGATGCAGCTTGTAGAATCGCATGAGCGTGCGTCCGTGCGTTCGTCCGTGCGTCAACAATTGGGCACAAATCTTAACCGCTCGACGTACAGTCACGATATTCGCGGGCATGGGGGGTAATCCAAAAACGAGCTGGGATATCGAAGCTGGGGTCAAAGGTCAAAGGTCAAGAGGTGTAAAAGAAGGGGGAACATTCCCTCCTTAACTTAAGGTATAGGGAGGAAATGCAGAATTGCGGCACAAATCTAAACGGCTCGACCTAGGCTTGTGATAGTCGGTGTATAGCATCATGGTAGGAAAAGCCATCACTGTGCCGAAATTGGAGGTCACAGGTCAATGGGGCACAGGGCAGATTTTAGACATTTTCTGAGGACATGGTCTGACGGAGCGATTGGAAAACTTTTTTGTTTCAGCGGTGACCTACCATTTTTATGGCGTTATTGAAAGGACCATGAAATGTGCTTTCCACTGACGTGCGAAGAGTAAGTGTCTGATAACCTTTTGACCCTCAAGAGGAGGGTTAAACATGGATTTGTTGACTGTTAACAAAGGACTAAACTGCTTTTGCTATTAGAGCCCCCTTCACCTGCCCCTCCCCCCACCCTACCCACACCCTCCACCGCCACCCTCCCCCACCACCACCACTACGCTCGCACTCGACGCATATCCATGATAACGTTAATATAGCGAAGTAATTAAAGCTACACAGCTATATCTTTATTACTGTACTACCAGTATAGCAAAGCCTATCAACTCGGTGGCGGGAGGGCGCACTTGATTCGGTTGCCAGTGAGTTTATCAGAAGAATAGCCGGCTATAGTACACATCAGTTGAGCGCTGTCGCTCTGCGGCACTTGTTCAATGTTGTATTCTCATGCTTGTAAAAACATTGTCTTATAGTTATAGGTAACTCCATAATTCACAAAATTACCTAATAGTAATAATATAATTATAATATTTAAATTGGTAATACATCATCTTTGGTACTGTAGTATTACAAGCTTGAAAATTGATACCTTAAGTCATCTTTAATGGCAGTTGTATTTCAGGTGGTAACATTGTGGTATAGAAGTCCGGAGATCCTACTTGGGAGCAGGTTTTATTCCACTGCTGTCGATGTTTGGAGCATTGGTTGCATATTTGTAGAAATGGTAAGAACAAGCATGAATTCTGTAATCTTCTATCAAAGTAACTTTTTGTAGGCCTGGATCAGGTGCATAAAACATTAAGGATTTCGTGCCATTTTTTGAGAGTCAACAGGCAGGTAAAATATCAGAATTTAGCTGAAAGTGAAACCAAACAATGTCACGTATTGGAATGATATTAGTTTTACATTTGTGTTAATTGTAATATAGCTTGTGATGGCTACATCTTGTTTTTAAAGCACGTTTGCAGGGGTAGATATTAGTTTGAAAATTTACAGGCCCGCGGGTCCTGTAGGTAAGGGATTTTACAGGCCCGCCAGGCAAATTACAGGCCCGCATCATTCCCTGGATACCGCAGCATTTTTTTTAAATGAATGACTGAAATTTGACATTTTTACAATGGTTTACGTTCGTACGCACAAAAAGGCATTTAGGTACATATCCATCATCATCATACATGCGCACGTGTTCACACACACCCACACTGATCATTTACTGTGTGGATCAAACATCTTGAATGATAAAGCTAATGACCTAGCGCTACCAAACTTGGTATACTTACACATCTTGGGGAGAAGGTATGTCACGTACCAAGTCCAGGTCACTGCGACCTTTATTTGACCTTGACATTGACCTTGATTATATTTCTTTTCCGCTCTATAACTCGGCCCCTAATTAACCTAGCGCTACCAAACTTTGTATACTTACACATCTTGGGGGGGGGGTTAGGATTTCGAACCCTGCGTTTGTTCAATCTGTGTGGTCTTACCTACATGGTGTTTAAAGTGGTATCTTGCGGTTTAATTGTGCATGTTCCAGTTACAAAACCTGTAAAAAAAATTTATTGGTACATTCAATTCAGGTCAACAAAAAGGTTCTGTTTGCTGGCGACTCTGAGATTGACCAGCTGTTCCGCATATTCCGTACGTTGGGCACGCCTGATGAAACCATCTGGCCAGGCGTAACCCAGCTGCCAGACTACAAGCCGATGTTCCCTAGGTGGCCTGCTCAATCAACAGCAGACCTCTGCCCAGGACTAAGTGCAGATGGTCAGGATCTTTTTCGGGTAATGCTTAATTGGATGCTCTCGTTGCCCCCACCATGAATTTAAAGTTCATTGCTGCTGTTATTACAGATGTTGCCTGTCCATACTGGTTGATTTTATGGTTTCCTTTTTCATCATGAATAATACTATTCTCATCAATGTATTCTCCATAATGATATAATTCATTATTAGTCCAACTCAATTAGGTCTTCCCTGTTAATATGTTAATTAGTATACATGTGATTTTTTTCTGCTTTACAGTTAATGATGCAATACGACCCTAGCAAGAGGATATCAGCAAAAGCAGCCCTAGGTCATCGGTACTTTAGTGATGTGTCTATGCAGACACCTCCAGCGCCCATGAGAACTCAAAACTGAAATGAATGGCTGCTTACTTGGCGGTTGTTTGATTTGAGGTAAGGTAACACAAATAATATTAATGTATAATGTGACACTTGTTTATGGGTGGAATACTTGAGCTTATAACATGTTTTCTATGATTTTCTTCTGGTTTTCACGTCAGAAATGTAATGGAGTTTAAAGAAAGAACAAGCATGAAAGAATGTCTATTTCAAGATGCTGACTAACACTCTTTTATGTCACGAGTATTATGATTTTCGCAGTAGTCGCTGTCTGTATGCTTTAGCGTGTTGTTGTTATACATTCATATGAATAATATTGAGTTCTACAATTCATATGTGTGTAGTGTTTTTGTAACATAGATTGTAACAGGTGATAGTGAGAAGCCAAATGTAAAATATTAAATCCTGCAGTGTATAATTTAATTAATAGCTACGAGTAGAATTGCTAAACTTTGTAATACTTGGTGAACATGCATAGTTTTTGCACAAAATAGGAGTTCCACGTGGGATAGGGTGGGAGGACATATTTTTATTAACAGACTTATTGGTTATCTGTAATGGTTAATATTTTAATACTTATTGTAATAATTTTGTAGCAATAGAACCACCTGCCTATTATTAATAACTGTTTTGAAAAGATTTTTTCCTGGATATCTGGTTTTAAATTAAATTAAATTATATGTTTGATTTTTTAACCACGTAGTAGGTGTTTAAAGTCGTACCCAGGATGCATGTATCTATAGCGAGTTTGTACAGTTATAATTTAAAAAAATAAATGTTTACATGATATGGTGTTGTATTTTAAATACAGTTGTTTACATTGTTGTTAATTGTTTGCATTGCATGTTTATAATTGTATCCCCCGCGACGAAGTCGGCGGGGATACTATGGTTTCATGTCTCCCCCGCCGCCGCCGTCGCTCGGTCTGCCGCAGAGAATTTCCCTTCCGCTCTATAGCTCGACCCCTAATTGACCTAGCGCTACCAAACTTGGTATACTTACACATCTTGGGAAGAAGGTGAGCAGCGTACCAAAACCAGGTCACTGAGACCTTTATTTGACCTTTACCTTGACCTTGATCATATTTCTCTTCCGCTCTCTAACTCGACCCCTAATTGACCTAGCACTACCAAACTTGGTATATTTACACATTTTGGGGAGAAGGTGAGCAGCGTACCAAAACCAGGTCACTGCGACCTTTATTTGACCTTGATCATAATTTCCTTCTGTTCTCTAACTCTGCCCCTTATTGACCTAGCGCTACCAAACTTGGTATACTTACACATCTTGGGGAGAAGGTGCGCAGCGTACCAAAACCAGGTCACTGCGACCTTTATTTGACCTTTACCTTGACCTTGATTTTATTTTCCTTCTGCTCTATAACTCGGCCTCTAATTGACCTCGCGCTACCAAAACCAGGTCACTACGACCTTTATTTGACCTTTACCTTGACCTTGATCATATTTCCGTTCCGCTCTATAACTCGGCCCCTAATTGACCTAGCGCTACCAAACTTGGTATACTTATACATCTTAGGGAGAAGATGTGTCGCGTACCAAAACCAGGTCACTACGACCTTTATTTGACCTTGACCTTGATCATATTTCCCTTCCACTCTATAACTCTGTCCCTAATTGACATAGCGCTACCAAACTTGGTATACTTACACATCTTGAGGAGAATGTGTGTCTCGTACCAAAACCAGGTCACGACGACCTTTATTTGACCTTTACATTGACCTTGATCATATTTCCCTTCCACTCTATAACTCGGCCCCTAATTGACCTAGCGCTACCAAACTTCGTATACTTACACATCTTGGGGAGAACATGGGAAATACATGTAGTTAGCGACAACTGCCCTTTCTAGTAATATTTTGTTTATATGTGTGGTTTAATTGGTAATGAATAATTAATGCTTAAATAAAGTAATTAATGCAAGTTTTTTTTTGAGAAAAATTATGACAAAAACCATGAGTGTTCTTTATTCACGTACAACAGCATTTATTTCACAATAAATTTTTATATAAAGTTTTTTATTATGCACATTGCCGACCATACAAAATACAAAAATCCTGAGTCACACAATGTACAATTGAAGTTCTTGAAGGTTAGTGTTACAATGACTTGCACAAATAGTGAACAGCAAAATCCAGAACCATAACTATGATCGGTTCTAGGTCATGTACCGTTGCAGTGTGCGCATGTGCACCCAAGTGTAAAATCAATTACCCAGATACAACAGACTACACCCCAGTCTTATTGACTTCTTCAGACGTGATTCTGAAAAGGGCCTGCATACTAAATGAAGCTTAATGGCAACAGGCACAGCGAGCTCAATTGAGTATTTCGATTGAACGATCTTGGTCTTGCTGAAGCGAAAACTAGGACCGCGAGTCGTCCTCTGGTAGGAGAGGGGGCACCCCTATAGACCGAAGGTCCGATAGACCGAATATTGCAAAGGGACCTATAGACCGAAGGTCCGATAGACCGAATATTGCAAAGGGTTGGAGTTAGGGTTAGGGTTAGGGTTAGGGCATATATATGGTTTATAGTGGCATCATATGATTTATCGGACCTTCGGACCTTGGGTCTATAGGACTGTAACCGGTAGGCGATGCCTGTATGTTAGATGGCGAGGTGAGATCTGGGAGCGAGCGTGCAGCAGCAGGCAATGACTGACTGCGTCTGCTACTGCTCCCATCTTCACGTTTCGCGCTTCTGTCACCCTGTTACTGTAGCATGTACTTATGCAAGAACGCAGGTTTGCTCAAACACCTCCCAGGCTCCCATCCACGCCAACAATATAACATCAAGATCATAAACAGTGTAAACACTTAGAAAAGTATCAGATTCCCCTCTTAATATTTTGTCTCCAATAAGCCCCGTGGTGAGTTTGTTCCCATGTCAGTGCGTTTTCACCCGGTGAGGCATACACCAAGCGGTGTGGTACTACTATATCATGAATTTAAGAATTGGCAGAAGTATATTTACTCAACAAATATTTACATTGTTGCCAATTACTTGCCATCTCTGTCACCTCATACATAACGTTCGGAAGCTGTTGACACAGATGGGAATGCGACATTTCTCATGCATTCCGAACAGGAACGTTATCTGCTGCTGAAACATGGCTTTCTTCATGATAAACGTTCCCGATTCCGCCGCAACACAATTCGCAAATCAGTGCGGTATTTAGGACCCACTTAATTTTGTTACGGCTTGTTATGACTTTGTTACAAAGATAATAGGCAGCGCAGTTTGTAATGATGTAAAGCAATAGGCAAACTTGCCCACTTCTTTGACACGTGTTTTGTAATGGTTAACAATGGTAATGGTCACCAAGATTATCACAACCCGTAAGATTATTAATCTTTATTATAACATAAATATAACTTTAACATTAAATAAACTAAAGCTTTAAGATTATCTAACCGTTGCAATGGGAACACGACTGTATTTCAAAGAATGCACACAATTCTAATAACCCTACCTTAGACTTCCCCCAATGAACATGACTGCAAGTTTAACGAAATTTTATGCCTGCACGTTTCTTGCTCTTTATGTATGTTTTTACTATACCGATAAACCAACGGCCATAGTTCCAACTGCATGCCTGTGTCAATATCTTGTGTAAGCGATCCCCAGACGCAGGTTTCCTTTCACCTTTTCTCAGCATTACACAAATCAGACAAGATTGCACTGTTAACACGGCCTATCACATATCCATATACATATTATATGTGGACAGCCTTGCTATTTCCTAAACACTGCAGTGGGTAGCATCACTGCTAACTGAAAGTATTGCCGATTTATATGCTAATAAGATTACCTGAATTTACATTACATTGTAGCCAATATACAAACCAGTCCAACTTTTCTACTTACGTTCACAATAAGCTTTAGACTGAAATAGCTTGAATGGAAATATAAATGGAGTAACCTTTTACAAGGAATCAAGGAATATCGTACACCTGCATCCTGCATTACAGTAGCTTTCATGCCGCTTCAAGAATTAGCGTGTGTGCGCGCGTGCGTGCGTGCATCTGCGTGTGTGCGCGTGCGTGCATCTGCGTGTGTGCGCGTGCGTGCATCTGCGTGTGTGCGCGTGCGTGCATCTGCGTGTGTGCGCGCGTGCGTTCATATGCGTGTGCGCGCGCGTGCGTGCGTGCATCTGCGTGTGTGCGCGCGTGCGTGCGTGCATCTGCGTGTGTGCGCGCGTGCGTGCATATGCGTGTGCGCGCGCGTACGTGCATATGCGTGCGTGCGTGCGTGCCTGTGAGAGCGAATGTGTCTCTGTGCGCAAGTGTGTGGAGAGTGCAGTGAGCAGTCAAGTGCTGTGCGTGAGATCAGAGAGCAATGGAGAAGACGGTAATTATGATAGTGACACACTATTAAAATGCCGAAGCAGAGAATGACAAGTAAAAAAGCGTAAACATTCCCAAATACTTCACCTTCACAATGAAATGTAGCCAAGCTATTATGAAATTTGTTCCAGTAGAACATTCACCAGTTTTTTGGGCAGCAATATGCCTTACTCTTTTTTCCGTTTATGTAACTCACATACACATATACACATGCGAGTATGGGCAAATGCAGGCAAATAACGCGTGCTTTCTTGAAAAGATGTCTTCTCATGAAATCTGTGAAACGTTTTCAAGATCACTGTACGAATGACGACAAATAACTAGCACCGCTTTAGCTGGATGCTAGCTTTAATAATAAAATTAAACATTTATCAAGTCTGTATTTGCTCAAAGATGACAAAACTCAAGAACGGATTTTCACTGGTTTAAGATAATAATGGTAACAGTAAGTGCATGACACAGTGCTTAGTCACATCCCTTCGGTCAGCATACATAGAATTGGTGCACATCTAAGGAACGTTTTCCCCTAAGTGTACATAAAGGCAAGTTAAAACGTACTCAGAAGAAAAATCAGGTAAAGGGTACTACAAAATAAAACGGTTTTTTTTACCAGATTTGTGGTGGTTTATATTAATTTCGTGAGAAGGCATCCTTAACAGAATAAAAGATATTGCATCTGCAATAAATGTGTAAAACTCGTTCTTACAGTTTGTATAATACACCATCATATATTTGTATAATAAATTCATAATGGTAGTCATAGCAGCAGTAGCTCGAGCTATTTATAATTGGTAAAGGAGCACTGGAATGGTTCCCATGACGTTTATAAAATTTAGTCTACTAACATTTATAGTGCTTTGACACATGTTAATGCGAGCTAAACTGGCTCTCTGTAACAATGAACACACTTAAGTTACTTTTTATTGCCAAAGTAGAAGCTGAGATCATTGAAGATTCTGTTGTGTTATGTGTATTGACACTTGCATACCATTGTGTGTATGTGCGTGCGCGTGTGTGTCTCGTGTGTCCTCTCATGTGGTGTCGTGTGTGGGTGTATGTGTACATACACATGCACACACACACACACACACACACACACACATATATATATATATATGTACGACAGTACGTGTGCATACGTGTTAGTGTGTGTATGCGTGTGCGTGTGTGCGTGTGCGTGTGTGCGTTACGCGTGCGTTGCGTGCGTGCGTGCTGTGCGTCAGTTGTGTGTGTGTGTGCGTAGTCTATATATATATATATATAAATATATATATATTATATGTGTGTGTGTGTGTGTGTGTGTGTGTGTGTGCACGTGCATGTGAGATTTTGTATCCCACCCTCCTACCCACATAGGTAAGCTGAGATGCATTCATAATACTTGTTAGGAACACGGTATTCTACAGATCCTTGCTATATAGTGTTTAGTTTTATATAGTGTTAGCCACTAGGCAAATTGACATAGGTAAAACTTCTAATACCGACATTTTCTACGGTTTTCGTACGACAGAGAGAGTAAGCGAAGCTTCGTTAGCACTATGAAGAACGACACACACATGTAACACAGCTCAAATAACAGAGCGTATAAAGTCGACCTAAACATGCGAAATACACTAAAGCGCAGACGCATTCGCGTCCACTGCATGACGTCGGTGGTGGCAAGGGTTCCGGCACGCGACTCCAGCGCCCCCTACCGATACTCCGACGCGAGGCGCATACTATCCGGGAAGTCGGTCGTCTGCCTGCACATCGGCTGGTGCACCTCTCGGCAGGTGGCGCCGTAGAGCGTCGCGCGCTGCACGAACCCCGACGCGACCTTGGTCGCCATCGAGCACGGTTCGGACGACCTTCGCGGGCTCGTTGCGTGCGGCGGCGACATCTTGTTCTGACCGGGATCGGAAGAGCGGCGGCAGCACAGTAGGTCATCGTCAACGCTCAGCCTGTTGTCCGAGTGGACGGACGGCGTCACCAGGTGGCTCTCTGAGTGATTGGGCGTGTCCTGCGCAACGAGAATTTTCACCGTCGGCGGGTTGAGCGGCGACACGCGGCGCCCCCTGTCGGCCGCCGCTGCCGACTCGAAGATCAGCTGACTCGTCTCGTACACGGACGTGAGCGCCGTCACCTTCGTCGTCGGCTGCTGCAGCGAGAAACCGTCCGTCGGCGGCGGGGACGGCGACGGCGACGGCGTCGTCGCCGCGGCGACGCGTGCGCCGCGCGTCGCCATCACCCTCACGCCGCTGTCGACGGTGAGGATGAGGTCGGTGAGCTGATTGAGCGCGGGCATCGAGTGAAGGTTCGTCGGCTTGGCGACGGACACGCTCCAGCGCGTGCGCTCGGCGCGCGGGTAGCTGCGGCGGCGGCTGCCCGCCAGCAGACGCATTTCGTGCGTGTCGAGGCTGAGGGGCACGCTGTGCCGGCGGCCGAGCAGCAGCATCAGCGACACGTTCTCCAGGGTTGCCATCAGCTCGGCACTGCTCTTCCGGCTGATGATGTCCGAGTGGTTGTCGTCGTCAATGCTAGATCGACGGCTGCTCGTCTGCGACGCCTGCGGGCTGGAGCGGAAACAAGAGAACGCTTGTTAACACGCGCACGCGTCGCTCGGTGAAGCCTCGTCAAACTGATTCTTCGTTTAACTGACAAGGAAGAAACTGTATTTAATAATTATGTCGTGTCATTCATAACGAAAAACAATGAACGTTAGTGAAGAAGTAACAAGAATGTCTGCCACCACCTCTATTTTACCATCTATCATCTTACTACTGCACTGAACATACTTGTGTGAGACCCCCCCCCCCCCCCCCCCCCACCTCTATTTTACCATCTATCATCTTACTACTGCACTGAACATACTTGTGTGAGACCCCCCCCCCCCCCCCCCCCCACCTCTATTTTACCATCTATCATCTTACTACTGCACTGAACATACTTGTGTGAGACCCCCCCCCCCCCCCCCCCCCACCTCTATTTTACCATCTATCATCTTACTACTGCACTGAACATACTTGTGTGAGACCCCCCCCCCCCCCCCCCCCCACCTCTATTTTACCATCTATCATCTTACTACTGCACTGAACATACTTGTGT